AGAGGAAGACAGGCCTGGAAATCTTCTGAAGTCTCACGGCCATGAATGAACCTCAACTAACTCAGTGAAGAATCGGCTCAGGGAAATGTGATCTTTGAATGTTTAAATGAGATCCAACTGACAAGGGTAGCTCAAAAGACGAGCTGGGAAATGCGGGAGCTCTGGTGGTGTGGTCAGGAAGGACCGGCTGCTACCCCAAGGCCACACCTCTGGTGGTTCGGCTCCACCATTAGCTCGAAGAGTGGGCAGTCTTCTCCCATGCGATTGGCACTCTCCGAAAACCCACCGGAGGGCCAGCTCTGAGTCAGTTCCTGCCTGCGGGCGGTGGGTGAGTGCACGTAAAGTTATGCTGACACTATCTGGAGTCTAAGTGTGCAAAGCATGACCGAAGAGTTTGAAATGTTGTTAAGTGCCAAGTCATAGGCGACTCATAGCAACCCTATGAACAAAAGTCCTCAACATTTGTGTGACTTTCATCCTTTCTCCAGGTTCATAGGGTTTCTGGAGGCAAGCTATTTCAGTCGTGGATACCTCTCCTGCTTCCAAGCTTGTTTTAATCAGGGAGCTCCACCAAACACTGTCCACCATGGGTAACCGTTATCACATTTGACACATCAGTGTCCCAGTGTTCAGCTTCACAGCGAACACGAGTTACCTCTGTACAGCAATGCACAGACCAGTGCTAGACCACTTAGAAGAATGTTTGACAAAAAACCAATTTAAACCAAGCTTGAGGACCGCAGATTAAAATCACCCACCTTGGGCTAGGTAGTATAACTTTCTGTCCACTAGGCCAATGTAGTTCTCTCTCTGTTGTCATTGTTATTGTTGTTAAGTGCCGTCAAGTTGTAGACGACTCATAGCGACCCTATGAACCAAAGACCTGAGCACTGTTCATAGAGTTTCCGGAGGCAAGCCATTTCGGAAGTGGATGACACTCCTGCTTCCAAGCTTATTTTAATCGGGGAGCTTCACCAAACACTGTCCACTGTGGGTAACCATTAGCGCATTTGACACATCAGTGTCACAGTGTTCAGCATCACAGCAACCACAAGTTACCTCTCACCCATTCCAGCCAAGAGCTTCTGTAGAACCAGCTCCTGTCTGGTTCCAGCCCCTGGTCTCCAGCCCCTGCCACTCATAGCTTCTGAAAACTGCTGGAGGATCAGTTCTGAGCTGGTTCCAACTCCTTGGCAATGACTTTGAATCTGCATTGTGTGGATGTGGTGGCCTTTCTGCAGCTGCTGTTCTGTTACAGACACCTGGGTGGTTTCCAGTTCTTTGTGGTTGTAAACAGTGCAGCAATAAACATTGGTGTGTGTATGTCAGCTTGTGTCACGGCTCTTCTTTCTTTAAGACATAGACCTAGTGGTGGGATTGCGGGAGCCAGTGGTATGCCTAATTCCAGCTTTCTAAGGATCCTTTTGATTTGAGATAGTATATATATCCCTCCCCGCCTGCAGGTTCAGAATCTCATACACGGAGCAGAGACCAGGAAACGCCGGGGCTGTGCTGGCACCGTGGTTGACGGGGTGCCCCGTTTCTGGGACGTTTCATCTATCTTTGTCCCATTCATGCCTTAATAAAAGTATTTATTTTTTTAAAAAAGATAGGACACAAAGACACAGACCGAGCACAGAAGGTGGGAAAATGCCAAAGCAGGTTTACAGATTTACTCAACCCTGATTTGCCACAAAGCCTTTCATCCTGCTTTATTTTTTTTATTATTATTAAATTTTATTAGTTTTAATGAACA